TTTATATGAAATTGGAAATTTGTACACCCTACCCTTAAGCTTTACTATAGTGGTTCTTTGAACGTTATCACTGTATATATGTGTTACCTTATTTATTTATACTATGTCCTCTTTCGCTTAATGAAACTTCCTTTTAATCAAGATACAGTCGGCTAGGTTAAGCACGAGATTTTTCAATATTCTAATATTTATATATTTATTCGGTTCTAAATTGAGTCTATCCTAATATCAAGACTAGTTATAAAACATGAATCAGATTTCGTAAAAGTTACTACGCGTTAATCGAAAATATTTAGAATCAAAAGCTTAATGTATTCACAGAGAAAGTTAACTTTGACATGCAATACTGATTAAAAAGTAATATGTTTTAACTATCGAAAAAATTTTAAAAACTTGCAATCTAATTACGATAAATTTGAACTTTTGGTTGTAATATTTTCTATTTGTAATTATTTTCAATTTCGGGCCCTTAACGTTAAATGTAAATTCCCCTAAAAAATTTGATACGTAAAAATTAAGAGTGAACCCGGGTCATGTGATGTATTTTAAGCTCGGGTTTAAAATTCGAGTTACCTGACCACTAGTTATAAACATATACGTATGCTATAATTTTATACAATTCTTTAGCAGAATTTTTTCTAACTCAAATTTGATACCGAATTAGATAAAGGTCAAATTTAAGTACAAAATATTAATAGCTACATTATTTAAATTTTGTAATACATTAAATTCCGAAGAATATATGCCTAAATCTTATACACATTTATCTTAGCCACATAAACTTAATTAAATTTTAAAGTGACCCACCCGGCCGGCTTTAATTTTTAGTTACAAAAATTTTATATTTTTTTTTTATCTAGAACATTTTAAAAACTCACCCGGAAGTATTTATAATAAATAACAAAATTTTGAATTGAAACTTTACAAAGCTAACCCGGCCGGATTATGAGAAACAATCAAATTAATTTCGTATGGTCTTAATTAATTGTATTTATGATACTAAAAAGCAATAATTACATTTTAAGCCTCTAAATTTAAATATGAGATCTCGTGTAACTTATAAAAATGTTGTGAATGTTGTGTATCAAAATTTTTTTTAATTTTGAAGCGGAAAGCATGTGACAGTATTACCGTTACTAATACATATAGCGCTACGCACGAACCAAGCACATATTTATAAAAAGGTTGTGTGTCACGACTAAGCGACCGGCAAGTTATTTAACCGCTGCAACTTTTTTTTCTTTTAAAAAAAAATAATAATTTCACAGCCGCAATTTACTATTCATAATCAAACGACTTTAAAATTTTTAGGAATGGACACTTGGTCGCCCAAAACTGGTGAATCAAGCACCACCTCACACGTGGAAGGTTCCACTAATAGTTCAGCACAAACTTCAAGTAGTGAGCAGCCCTCTAACAGAGTTATAATGTTACTTGGTCTTGATCCAAATACCACTGCTGGATTGATAACGGTAAGAATTATAGATTTCTTTTATGTTTCTCGATTATAAAAATTTAAATTGTTTGTACTTAATTTATTAGAAAGCGTTTGATTCTTATGGTTTAAAAGTTACAGTTGATTATCAACGAGATGACACTATAGGCTATGTTCATTTACAGCATCCAATTGCTAAGACAGTAGCTGAACGTATTATGAGCAGTGGTGGGCTTAGGATTAGTACTGAAGTTTCTGTACTGCGTGCTTTGGAAGGTAAGCGCAATAATTTTAGTTACGTGCTTTTTTAAACCCTTGATTATACATGCTCGTGAAATTTTTTTGAATTCCACGACTAATTTAGGACATACTAATCAATCTTTAATAATATTAAAGGAATGGAGGACTTAATGTACTGGTCGGTTTATGCTGGGCGTCGCATAATTTCAAGGTCAAGTGCATCCTATAAAACAGGAAAGACTCGAGTTAAGAGGCTCAGTGTTCGTCAACATCCGTACAATAATCAGCGTCAATTCATGGATGTTGATGATGAACAAACATCAACGCATCATCGACAAAAGTTACAAGTAAAAGTTGCAGGAAAGCACGGAAGAAAGAAAAGGGCAAAGAAAAAGCTTCTAAAGCAGAAGAAACGAAGTATCGAAAACGCAAAAAGAATGTTAGAAATGAAACAAGTTGATATAATGGAAGGTATTGACGATGGAATCGAAGGAACTTTAACCTCACCCATTGTTGATAATCAGTTCGTGGCGGAAGCTAGAACAAAACGTTGCAGTCAAAGTTCGACTTATTCATCATTAGATAGTATAGGGGATTTCGTTAATTCTACAAAAGTTCCTGCCTACAATATTCTCATTCACCAATCATCGAAAGGAGAAGCGGAAATTGTCGATCGGTCAAAAAAGTTTCGAGACTTTTTGATCCCAACATCTCAAAATCAAAAATCTTTTTCTAACAACACTTTTGGGTTTAACAGCAATCCATTTTACAATATTCCGTATCACCAATCACCACTTAGGCAGGAACTCAAGTTGGAAAGCAAGGACGAAGCGGATGAAGTTGAAAAAATATTCAAAAATTTATACCTCAATTCCGTTGACAATGAATCTACACTATGAATAAACCATTACCAATTAATAAATGGTCATTCCTGTTGATAAGCAAATAGAACAAAAAAAAATAAAAATATATATATATAAAAAAAAAAACAAACAAAAAAACCCATATATACACAACAATAAACTTAAAATCTAACGAAATTCAAAATTGTTGGGAAAATTATCTGAAGGTCTTATGCACAATTTATCTGATTATCAACAAAGATCGATATAAGGTTTTTTTATCTATATACGCACACAAACAAGTAACATAATATGCAAGAACTGTTTATACGTAATAGCTTTTATTGAGAAATAAAGGTGAAAATTTTTAATAGTAAATTGCGCCAATATGTTATGAATATGATACATGATAATATTAACCATTCCATCACGTATGCCTACATTAAAACATATCATTCCTAATAAAAATTACAAAAAATAAAGTCTAAATTAGGTAATATGCAAATCCTATAAGGAAATGGGCTCCTACGTCGTTTAAGTCGGCTCATTTTTAGTAAGTGAGAAATATTGCGAACTCCATATCGAACATTTTTTGCATTTAAGGCAAAACATCTTGAATCCACCCAGACTGTGGGGGATATACAAGTTTTGTTGGTACTCTTATATAATAACTATTTAACACCATGGATACTCATGTGTCAAATGTTGGTGAAAGCAAAAATGTGACGATATACACATAGCTCAGGCTACCTTTGAACAAATGCGTCGTTGCCTAAATCTAATATTACCATTTAGTCAGCTTATGATGATCTTCTTGTGAAGGTGTAACATAATAAAAGTATAGAAATAATCGAGTCGGTCAGTGATACGTACAATTTTAGTGATTTTCTTTTTATATCGATATTGTGTAATTTGTAATTTTATTTGCGATACATTTTATATTCGTATTTTTTCAACGGGGTTGTTGCTGAAATTGGATAATGGTGAAATTAGAATCCATTTCATACGTTTTTTAAATTTCTTTCGGGCACATTTTTTGAGAGTTGTTAATATCAGGAATAATAACGACTTGAAATGATCATTTCATAAGTCTAAGTTCACAACATATTTTGATTGACATTTCAACCAATTAAAATCGGTTGCTAACTTTTATAAAAACATAATAATCGTATCTATATATATTAAAATTTAATAACAAATTTTATCTAACAATCAGAGGACATGTTACACAGAGTGACAAACTATCTCTTAAATTGTATGTCAACACAGACAAATTTGTTTGTAGTGATACTAGCTGTAAACCCGGGCGTTGCTCCGGGATAAAATTTAATTTTTTAAAATTTTTTTAAAATTTAATTTTTTTATTTATTTTTTAACTTATAAGCTTTTTAAAGTT